TAGATTGTTTATGATATTTGGAAATCCTACGCAATACACATAGTTTTGACATTTTACGTATGTAGCGTAACAGTTGTGGGTGTGAATCGTTTCTGTGCGAATAAGAAATGACAAACATCTTGTTACATTAAAAGAAAGCTTCTTATTAGATAGATGCTTGGTTTCATGTACGAATTATTAAATGTTCATAAATCAAAATGAGTTCTTAATGAAAACAAAATAAGTATAGATTATTGAATCCACCATACCCCCCTTGTGATAACGGATCTACTTAAATATCCATTATAACGTTATTAACAGGATAAAAACGCCGTTCTGTCACATTGCTCGCTATAACGTGTGATTCAATATAATAAGGGTGCAATGTGCTAGAATTTATTTGTTTAGATGCGCAGAAAAGAAACGTCAAAAATGATCAAGTAAGTAAATTGGAAGGAAATATCCGACGAATAGCGAAAGGTTCTGCCATTCGTCAATGGCGAAACCTTTCGTCAAGTATTTTTGCTGATTATCAAAATATTACCTGTTGGTTTTTGTTATAATAAATTATAATTAGGCATTTTTAGAATATCATTTGTTCTTTATTTTTTTTCTCAATGAATTTCAGCCATAATAAATACATACGTGTACATGTATTAATTTTGGTTTTATCTATCTTAAGGTACATTTAATAGAGGAATGCATCATACTGCTTGACTATGCATAACAGTGGAAGAGCTAAAAATTAATAAATCTAAATTTTTATTAAATAATATTTTCTCTAGAGCGTGTCATTTAATTTAAACTCAAAGCAGAAACCTATGACGATTTGTTTATCGTTTCTTTTATGTGAACAAATTACATACATATGTACAGTGTACTACATAAGTTAATATATGTAATTTAAAAGTAGTCGATTCGGTATTTAAGTTGAAACCATCTCAACATGTTGTGATGAAACCTTTCGTTAAGAAAATGTCAAATGAATTTTTATAACGTTACACAGGTACATATTGACAGATTAAAATGAAAGTTTTAACCATAAATTCTTTTAATTAAATAGTGATGTTTTTAAAAATAGGGAATATATTGGTATATATTCCGTTTAGAATAATTATTTGATATTTTATTTTAATCTAAAAGCTAAGTAAGGAGGTTTATTTGAAGAACGAAAGCTTTGGTAGTTTGTGATTTCGGTATTGCCTTTTCTGCAGTAGAATCCCAGTTTAATTAATCGTCAGAAGTTTTGTTAATCGTCGCAGGTTTCGTCTGACGAATGGTTTCGTCACGTTATTCGTCATTATGAAAATAGTATCGTCAGGTATCATTAAAAGGAATACTTCTAGTATTAGAAATATTTATTTGCTGCTCCATTTCATTGAAACAACTTTATATGAAACCATAAGACTAATTTAAAATATGTTGATCTCAAGACAAAGATTTTACAACAATAGCAATAAGATGGGAAAGTTAAATGATTTTCTTTTGCAACGTGTGATTTTCGTACAATGCTGTACAAATATTTTAAGAAATCCATGTTATAATATAATTGTTTCGGGATCCGGTGTGCCGCATTTAATAAGAAATAAAATAGTGTTGGTGAAAGGGGAATGGGTGGTTGTTTGCGTAACTACAATAAAATATTTTATCAAACTTGCGAGAATTGTTCAATAGGTTAGTATATCATTGACCAAATTTAGCTTTTTCCGATTGACGGATCAACCAAATTTGTCATGGTAAATTTCTGATCGTATCGGTATGTGTAAATTTTTTTTATCATCAGGTGATTCAAAAAAAAAATTTATAGCCAGTTCGTGTTTTCGGAAGACCAATTTGAGGCTTTTATTAAATGTCTGTGCGCCAAAATAGCCACAAAACATCATTCGGAATAATTAAATTCTCACTAACGACGGTGGCTTGATTTGATTTTTTATTATATAAGCACACTTGTCATTTATACAATTTTTGATTTTTATAACGCGCGTCCAAAAAATAAATTTTTCTCACACTTCCATAGTTACCATAGCATATTGACGCCTTATCTTAAACTAAAATGGGCAATAAAATGGGGATAAATTCGCGCCGTCGTAAGCAGTCTGTAAGCAGCCGAAAAGTTAGTAGACCATCTCCCGGATCAAGTTTTTCACTCGAAGAACCACAAGCATCAGAATATTCAAAGGATAAACGTGCGTGTCTTTCACAATAGCATAAAAATGGTATTATTATTATTATTATTGATTAAAGATTTCTGACAAAAGTGATAATTCTGATTTGTATTTAATAAAGGTGTGGATGATATCCAACAATTTTATAATCATATGCGACATTTATGGCAGGGTTGCTTTTCGGCACATGTAGAAGAATCACTTATACGAGGATCACTCGTGCTAGATATTGGGTAACAATGAAAATAAAAGGTTGATGCTTCAGCATTGGATCGACGAGACTTAATGTATTTTTTTTTAATGAATTCTATTAAGATGTGGCACCGGAAATTGGCTAAAAGAGATGGCGACTGAATACAAATACAGTGAATTCATAGGCGTCGATATTCTACCGCTTCCTGACGATGTAAATAGACTCAAGAACATTAATTTTGTACAATCAGATGCCTTGGAATTCTTACCATTTGAGAACAATTATTTCGATTATGTTCGAATAAGTAATATGTCTATGTGTTTTCCAGAAAACGAGTGGGGAAAATTATTGAATGAAATGGCGAGGTTCTTTTGATTTCTTCTTTTGAATTTTTACCTTATTCGTAGTCTGATTTCAGCTCTTATCTGTTTAGAGTTTTAAAACCGGGAGGATATGTAGAAATAGGTATTTTTTAATTTATCAGATGACCGATTGTCTTTGGATTTATCTTAACATTAACATTATAAATTAAATACGTAAATAGAGGAACCAGATTTGGAATTGTATAATCGAGGACCAATCGCAGATTATTTAATGTCATATTGTAAGTTATTAATCTTCTTCAATAATAGTAAATAATAAACAACAAAGAAGTAATTACGATAAAATCTTAGTTTTAGAATCTTACGCTCAGTATGGAATAAACGTTAAACTTTACAAAAGACTAGAACTCTACCTCGCCTCTACAAACCAGTTCACCGGTGTCGAATGGGATCACAAAACGCTCTCATTTTCTTCGCTCATCGATTTAACTGGAGTGTCTTTAAGCGAAATCATGTCATACTATTTTGCCGGTAATTTAGATTTGACATCCCAACTTGCTGGGCGTATGGCTGTCGAAGAGCGAGAGCTGAAGAGTATGTATAACCAAATGCAAAATGAGATGAAATCTTACGATTCTAAACTACATTATTACAGATTTTGGGGAAGAAAAATATCCATGTAATATTTTTCGTTGAAATTAACGCTATGAGCGGATCAAATTTGAACTTTAATTTTTTTTTAAATTTGAAATTCCGTAAATAACACTTGTATAATTTGTACTTTGTAAAAATTTCTGATGCACATGTACATGTATTTAAATGCAGAGATCATATGATATACATACACGTTTATTTGAAGATAATCTAATACATAATACTACAACATAACTTACTTCCTTCTGAGATATGTGAAAAATTTCAATAAGTTATCAGAAACTATATATGACATAAATATCATTCTATAACTTCTTTCCTAATTTCTAAGATATAAAAACTTGAGACAGGAAATAACAATACCGCATACTGTTTCGTGTATATTTATTTATTAAACACGTTGAAATCTATTCCAATAAAGTTCAACCGCTAAAAAACTTTACAAGATTTTCTTATCTATCCAATTTCCAGCAGATGAACTGAATAATTGCATATTCAGTACTACAATTTTTTATAATATTCTAAAACAGATGAAAAAATTCATGAGTGTCTTGGAACTATAGGTGCAGAGATTCAAGAACCCGAGATCGCAAAACAGCATTTCTATAAGATAAACAAAAAACAACAAATCCGTTCAAATGCAACTTAACACCAGTCGAATCTTTATCACATCATGCAATTCAAATGATAATTATTTTGTTTACTTATAAAAGGTCATATTAAATTACATTCTTGACTAAATACATTTTATACTTAGTTTATATAATATAACTTTAAGTATCATCATATTTATTACGTAAACTGTCATCTTCCGCTTCGTCTTTACATTGATAATATAAATATTAGGATATAAGGTAATGATTAATAACAGAAAATGGCGTGATAAATATATAAGGTAATAATATTGTAAATAATGAATAGATAAAGGAAATGGCATGATAATATATACAAGGCAATGATAAAAATATAAACAGTAAATGAACAATTGGTGCCTAATGTTAAGATAACAATAAATGTGCTAATACTGCAATGAATCGACGAATAATATTTCGTTCTCAAATAATAGGCAGTGTTTTTAACCAAGAAGAGTTGTCTTATTTGAATGTAAAAAAATGCATGACGATTAATTAGAATAGATTACTTCAAAATTGAAAGATTCAACCATCTCCGGAGCTCGATCATGTCCGTTTTTTACAGCCTTTTGAAACCACTTCAATGCTAATTCGAGATTTTTGAACATCTATTCCATATCGATAGAATTTTCCAAGATTAAATTAAGCTTGATCATTCCCGAACTCTGCAGCTCTTAAATACCAATCAAAGCTATCAGGTCTAACCGTTATTTTTTAATGGCAAAACTTAATATCCTTTTAATCAATTTAATCATGACAGAACATATATTCATACGCCTTTTCCGGGGATAAAGGACCTAACCATTTATCAAGTTTACAGGAACGACGCCGGTTTCAGATAAGTATATAAAGAACGTTTTTGTATTAAAAAATTATTTTTATCTTTAACTAAGGCTTCACATACCCTCATGCTATTTTTGACTATTCTATGTATACATTTTTGTTTATCCTATAAGACATATTATTAGAGATAATATTAGAGATTGAAGATATTATTTCGGAGATTATCCGTGTTTGGTTCATCTTTGTTTTTATCGTTACACGATCCGGAGTAGAGATCGGTAACAGTTTGTCATCGTTTTTATTTATCAATTCCACACATACAAAAGCTAAATAAAGATTTATTGACTCTTTTTTGGCTTGCATTATTATTACACTTCGTTATAAGAATATATTTTTTTTCATGTTGATGTTGCTTTTACATGTATAAACATTGTAACTGTGCCGTGGTTAAACATCAATCGGGAGTTAATTGTTAATTGCCTGCAACCAATACACAATTAAACCCGTATAGGAAACTCGGGTTCCAACACGAATAAAGTTTATTCATAATCAGATCTAGTGTAATATGAACTAAAATGCGCTTTCTTTAAATGCGATAATGGTTTAATACCAAACTAATTAAAGTTTGATGACATCGAATATGCATACAGACAATTTGTGACAGGTTGGGAGAAACTTGAATTTTATTCATGCTTCGGAATAATGAACGTGATGTCAGCAACAAATATTTAAAAAATTATGTGGTTTAGAAGTTGATTAAATTGTATTAATAGTATTAATAGCATAAACACGTATCATCTATACAGAGAGGATTGCAGAAACTGTTTGTTATTCGAGATATCTTACTCTTATTCTTTGATTCCATCCATATTCATGTTAATTAAAGTTATTAGATTCGCTTAAGCGAACTTACTATACATTGACAAATAAACACACATACATGAATACTGTGTTTACTAGCTTATGAAATTATTCAGAGCTTGTGTTTGTAGCGTTAATGTCATCATTTTAAGGTAAAACATACTAAATAATAGTCATCAAACAAAAGGAAGACTGTCAAGAAAGGATCAATAAACTCTGCAAACTTGGCGCAAACCAGAGCTACACGGGTATAAGAAACAACATAATGTAACCTATCGCCTGACCATTAACAACAATTTTTGTAATGTGCTGATTTACTGAACACAATCTAATCAGGCATGATTAGGATCATTTGATGACTAAACCCAGCAGTTCACCAAAAAAAAATGGTCATCTTGCTTAAGCATTCAAATTCTGGAAAAGCAGTTTAGTTATGTTATGGATGGAAGGCAATAAAAGGACAATACCAAATGAAAAGCATGGAAATTAGTTTTACTGAGGTATTGCAGGTTAGCAAACTTGATATCATGAATGAGTCCAATATCTAATACTAAAAAAATAAGTAATAAATAGATTATGCCAGTCAAGAATATTATCAAGTAATAGAGTATGGCAAATATATTTTCAATGATCAATAATTCAATCATGTCAGTATTAATGATAATGAAAAAAAGATTCAAATACTACAAGTAAAAAAAGTTCAAAAGAAAAAAAAAGTATAAGTAGTAAATATAGAATACCATTATATATATATGAATCAGTGCAAAAAGATTTGTATTTTAATATAAAAATCAATAATTACTTCTAATAAAAATCATTCAAATTTTAATTAATCTTTATAATTTTTTTATATTAGATAAAAATGATCTAAATTAATTTTTTATATTAATTTAATTATTATATCATACTTTAATTTAATAATAAATAAAATATTACTTTACTAAAAAAAAACTAAATAAAATTATTTTTTAAAAAAAGATATTTTAAATATTATTACTATTAATTTGTAATATTAGAACTTTAAATTATGCAAGTAAGTTATCTTAAATTTGATAAATATATATTCTAAATTTTATAAAAATTGAATTAATAGTGTTATGACAAATTTGATAAGTGAATTTTCACTTGGATTTACCTTAATAATATTGGGTTGAAAGATACTGAATTAAATAAGGAATAAAGAGAGAGAAATTGGATTATATTTTCAATAATAACAAAGATTTTTAAGATTTGTGCCAATATCTATAAATATTATCTTAATAAAGAAATAAAATAAATAATAAAAAAAATATAAATCAAGAAAATTATAAAGATCAATTAATAAAGTCACTAGTAATTAATATAATTCAAAACTTAAGTAATTAAATAATAAAGCTACTATTAATCAAAAAAGATTATGACTAAAGAAAATAAAACTAAGATAAATAAAAAACTAAATCACTATAAAGATATGACTTATTTATAGTAGAGATCTTCTACTCTCAAATTAATAAAACAAATAAAACAAAAAAAATATGGCTTATTTATAGTAGAGGTCTTCTAATCTCAAAATAATATCAAAAATCAAAAATCAATATAATATTATAATCAAAATCAAAATTAACTTTATATATTCAAAAGGAATAAAACTGAGTAAGAGAAAGAATACTAGTATAATTAGAAAAGAAATCTTTCAAAAAAATTACTATTATTATAATAATAAGCTTTTTAAT